AACCGATTTGAATGCGTTCTAGAAAAAATTATTTTTAACAAATAAGGAATTTAGTTATAGTACCAGTATGCATTATATATTGCCATTGTTATATAAATTATTTTGCGATGATATCAAGAGAAAACAACTAAGTAAGGTGAACAATGTTGTGGTGTATACACTTTTCTTTTTGCTGTTCTTTTCTCCGTTTGTTAATTGTTTATTTTATTTTATTTTATTTTATTTTTTGACACTTGCTTGGAAAAGGCCAACGGCCATAGTGTCGTTTAGTTAAAATAAAATAAATAAATAATAATAAATCTACGTTATTGAGTTTATTGAATCTAAACACAAATTTTTCATTTTTTATGAAAATAAAAGTAGAAATAATAGCGAGGTTGAGGGTCGAAGTTTTAAACGCGAAANAAGAAGTGATGAATTTTATATATCATGTGTTATATATATAGATAACTAACAAAAACTTGCTATTGATATTGTAATGTGCCCGGACCTTAAAATTTCATCTCCCGGCACCAACTTTTGTACTCATGTTAAGAGCAAATGCTCGAACTTGTCCATCCAGCTGTAGAGAAGAGAGAGAGTTCAAACCAAATGATAATGATTTTTAAGTGGGATCAAGTTCCCCCTTTGCTAAAATTCACGCGATATTAATTTATATAGGGTAGAAATACGTGTTGAGCCGTTTTAACTGGATCCAAACATTCCCATTGATTCCAGAACCAAACGGATGATCAGACAGAGAATCTTCGTATGATAAGGCGAACGAGTTGTTGCTAAATCATAAGAATCATGTAAAAACACACACTAATCTTCAAAAAAAATTGTAGTGTGGTTTTTAAGATAGAGGAGAGTGATGTGAAGGTCCGAAACCCTTTTTCTGTTTTAGAACTGTAAACCTTGGAATTTTCCTTGTAAAAGGAAAAAAAGGGAGAGCCTCTGCGGTCAATGACCGAGACGCTCTCCCCGAGTAAAAAAAAAAAAAGGGAATGTTAAAATATCAATGAAGGAAATATCCTCCATTTGTTTAAAGGTATAACAATAAGTGATATTTTTTTTGGAAAAAATTAAATAAAAATAAAGAAAGATTTCAACGATATGTAAATATATTATGAAGGAATAAAATTAAACACAATTCATAAATTGTAACTTTATAGATTACATGTAATAATTATTAATGACAGATAAACTGTTGAGAAAACTTATAAGCTAATATGTTACATAACATTCAGAATTAGAGGAGGTGATAAGAGACATTAGCAGACTAATAATCAAGTCTAAGTGCAATTGATAACACATGCATCCTGCTCATTAATAATAGCAAGACTTATTTAATATTATATGTACAGTTGTTATAGTAACATACTTCCATAATTCCATAAAAAATTGGTTTTGTCTACAGAATATTATTTCCTTACAACTACCTTCAAACATATTTTTATATATTTTATATTTAAACTGTTATTATTTCAAAATTGAATGATTTATGTTTTAAAATATTCCACAATACCCAACCTACATGTAAGCTGAGGATGATCGAATTACAAGCTGAAAACATTTCTAAATAAAACTTTTCAATTTTCTTGAATCAATAAATTTTATTTTTATCATATTAAATCTATCAAATTTTGTTATTCTGTTATTTCAAATTTTGATTATCAAGTCTTTGAATCTATCTTAAAAATATTGACAAAACTTTTACTTAAAATTGAATTTATAAATGTCAACAATACTTTACTTTTTATTTAATGATTTATTAATGGTTTTGTTATGAGATATGTTTATTCTATAACATTCATAAATATACAGCAGAGCATCGATTATCCAACCCCTGATCAACCGTCACATTGGTTAACCGACCGCGTTCTAGTTGTGTATGACCCATGTCATACACAATATCAATAGTGCATTTGGCAATAATATCACTAAGAAACAGACAGATATTCAAAAAATTCTTTTCTGGATTTAAAGATTAAGCCCCAAAATAAACCACTTATCCTTGGTGATGTCAACTGTCTTCGGATATTAATGAAGACTAATTTTTATCAAACTTGCATATCTTGCAGAACATAGTGTGTGTATTGCAAAACCATCAGAAACTCTCTCAAGAACATTAGAAATATTAAAACTGTTGGGCAAGTGGGTTCCTTATATACAGGAATGTCCATAAAGTCCATGAGCAATTTTAAAAATTTATAAGTATTAGTTTTTCTGATAGAAAAAAAATCTGTAAAAAGTATTAGAAGGTTTAATGTACCTAGTTTAAAGAAAAATGAAGTAAAATCTCTTCCACACAAGAGGTGGACCATGTTCATGGCCTCCACATTCATCAGACTTGACTCCATTAGATTTTTTTTTTATGGGGACAATACAAGTAGTGTATGCAACCAAACATTGATCATTAGAAGACCTGAAAGCTAAAATAACTAATGTGATTTCAGGCATTACTGTAAATTAATTGGCAAATGTTTTTAAAGAACTACAAAATCATATTACCCTTTGTAATACAAATGATGGTGGACATGTGGAAACTTAATAAAATACAAAACAAAAAAAATATANTGTTGATTAATAATGTAATTTTTATCAGTTCTGATTTTGTTATTCATAATATAAAAATATCTCAATTTTAATTATAAATGAACACATTTCTTTATAATTTATTAATTTTTTTCTATTAAATTGCCATATATATTATACAAAATCATTATGCTTTATAAGTATGTATTTTAAATGTGATACGTTTCATAAAAATTTTTTTAACATTTAAATGAATCAGTCTTTCATGTCATATGATACAGAGTAAATAAGGAAATGATTAATAATTTAATAAAATTTAATTATTTGTAATATTAATAGAATAAATTATTAAAAATACATGACATTATTTGAATCAATTTCACAGGAAACTTGTTAATGCATATTTTAAGCAATTTTTTAAGAATTGTGTATATTTGTTGAGCATTTATTTTCTAAATAATTACAAAATTACATCAACATTTCTTAGTTATTTATACATTAATGTAAATTGCTTAATCATGTTATTATTCCTAATTATCTTTAATTTAGCAAGATTATTCAAAAACAGAAAATTATTCTTGTTGTTATTGCAGACATTGTAACCTCATTTTTCATTTTAACTTCATATCATATCATAAACAAACTATTAGATATAATAATTCAAATTCCAATCTCTCAATAATGGCAACAAATTGAATATTTATATTCTAATTGTTATCAATATATCTTTAATTTATTATTTAATTAAAATTTCATTCTTGTGCATATTAATATAAAACTTATGAAGTTATAAATATAATCAATTTTAACAAATTAATTAGTTTTATTCATTTAGTATTTATATTTATGATGCTGGAATGCTTATCTTCATAAGCAAATTAAACTGCTATTCTGTTTAAAGATTTTTTAATTTTATCATTAATGAATACACCGATGATAAAATTTATTGTATTTCATTTGTTTATAATAAGAAAGTTTATTTATCTGGAGTTTTTTAAGTGTCTCAGTTTGTATCAACAAACTGATACACTTCAAACAGAAATTAAACTGTTTCTATTTAAAAATTTGTATGTGAAAATAAAACATCTCAGTTTTGCAGAAATTAATATTTGTGAAAGTCTGAAACCCTTTTCTGTCTTAAAACAGTATAAACCTCGGGATTTTCTCTGTAAAGGGAAAAAGGAGAACCTCTGCAGTCAATGACCGAGATGCTCTCCCCGAATAAAAAAAAAAAAAGGGAATGTTAAAATATCAATGAAGGAAATATCCTCCATTTGTTTAAAGGTAACTCTATAGATGTTAATATCAACTAGACGGGAATATGAGATGTTTCTTATCCAGTTTGGTTGCACGTGACACGTGGTCACAGCAATAAATCACCTCGTTCATAGTCAAATGCGACGTTTGGTATAAACAATATCTAGATTGTTGACCAGTTTACAGAAATTATTGTCAGCTGAATGTTAATTTATGGATGAGAGCCATCAAACATATAGAAATTTATATTATAAAATCATATCTTCTAGACACCAATATCAATAAATTAAACAAACTTCTCTGTGTCAGTTGTCCGCACTAGCTAGATCCAGACATCAACATACTAATAGGTGTGCGTATAAATCATTAATAATGTCATAGTTCTCACCCCCTCAAATTTGGTATAAAGAGGGCTCACGGCCCGTTATTGGGGGCCTTCAAGACAACAGGAATCAATCGATCAACTGCCTTTAAACATTGACCGCTGATGACAGATGACTAAGCAAGATTCTACTATCTATAACTTAGTAAGTAGAACTCTCTCTTTTCTCTCAGGTGGACTAGGGCCAATTAAGAAATAAATAGTAATGAGGATCAGAGACTATCCTCTGTTGGAAATACGAGAGATGCAATCCAGCTAACCACCAATTGGAATTTTAGTTTGAAATTATTATTATTATAAATCTTGTTCTTTGTAATGTTTTTATATAGCATTTGTTAATTAAATTTATATAATATCTTAAAAGTGTGTTTACTTGTACTCGGCCAACACCTTATCAACTTATCCACAACCTTACACTCAATTTTTGCCCTCCTAAATTGCCATCCACTGACCCTGTGAGCATGACTCACCTTCCCGTTGTCAGAAAACGGTTTAAACTTTGATGCTTAAACCCCGATTCTCACATATTAAATAAATGAGACTTAAAATTTATTGTATGTGCCTGTTTATATTGTCAAAGGAAACAGAATATATCTCAGGAAATTTATAGAAAAATGTAAATTTACACTGTTGATTTTAATTACAGGAATTTTTGCAATTAACACAGTTATTAAAAAATTTATGGACATATAATGAATATATTAATTGGAAACAAGAAGTTACTAAAGATAAAAACTAAAGATAAAAATAAATGTCATTTTAAAGCAATTACCAATATGTACAATTTTTATTGCACAAAGTCATAAAAACATAACTAAATATAATAATTTAAAAATTAAATTACCTTATTATTCATTATGGCACGTAAACACATAATGCAAACATGAATATCATCTTTTGCTTCTCCCATATTCAATTTAGCAATATGTTTAGAAGCTCTTCTCATTTTTGGTGTATCAAGATCTAATAAAGGACGGTGTGAACTTCCACTAATACTACCATTAGGGACATTATTTTCACCAAAATTATTTAAAGGTAAATACTCATGTCTATAAAAAAAAATTTCTAATTCAAAATTAAATACATAATTTATTTTACTATAACTGGAAAAAGCTTCTTATATACCTCATAATAATTAATCGAAATGATAAATAATCTACTAAAACATCCAACCCTTTGTTATCTTCATTAAGAAACTCACGAACCCATCTATAAAATGAAAATTATTATTATAAATTTGAAAAATAATTATATTATATTGAAATAAGTTAAAACAATCTTCTGAACACACTTTATTATAAGCTATTATAGCCTACAATAAAAGGGTGTTTAGAAGTTCTATAAACAAGAAACTTGCTAAATTCCAATCTTTTTAAAGAAACTTTTTATAAAATTTTAAAGTTATTTTTAATATTTTGACTATTGTCATTATTTTATTAATAAATTTTATGAAATATAATAATTTTGTTTATAGCCTTACTTTAAAAAATAAATAAAAATAAATATGTGGAACAAATGCTCCATAAAAACTGAACAGATCATGTCATTACAAATACAAAAATTGTGTCAATTTTTCACAGATGATTAAGTCAGTAAACATACAAACAGAATTAAAGTAGAACAATATTTGAAAACAAATAGACCAATATTTTTTCTTTAAAAAAATCAAATGAATTGAACAAAATGACTCACTCTATATTATTTGTACGAAGAGATATTTCCAAGTCTCTAAGCACCTGCGTTGATGTTGAATCTCCTAGCATTTTTCTTTTCTGCAAACCAACTCATTTTTAATATAAAATTTTTTTAAATGAAAATTTTTATTAATGTTTTGTAAACATTAATAAAGTTAATTAAATTAAATATTAATCATTAAAAAGAAAATAGTAAAAAAAATGAATATGCATAACACTTAATAATATAGAACAACTAAAAAGACCCAAAATGCATTTTGTCATCAGTAATGTAAAAATAAATAAATAAATAATATATTGTTTTAAGCATAGAATTAAGCATAACTGGTTTTAAAACAAAAAAGTTTAAGTCATTGTTAGAAAATTAAAGTTAATTATATATACAATTCTCTAAAACTTTTAAACTGCAAAATAACACAATCTTTTCTTAGAATTTACAAATTAAAACACTGAATTTTTATTTATAAATTCTAGTGCTGAAGAACTTACTGTTTATTTTAAGTTCATCTACACTATTCATGATAAAGGTAATATTTTGGAATGCTCCATTTACCTTGAAGAGAAAATCAATTTAAACTTTCTATAATTAAAAATGTTATTACGTTCAGTAAACTATTTTTAGTATNGGTGTTAGGCATGCGCGAGTTAAGCATTGCTTTTCCGAGTATTTGTGCTATACTTCTTTTTTCAGTTTTGTGATTTATAAATTGATATTAATACTACCTAAGTTTAAAAATGCATCAGAATCATCACTATTTTAGAATTTTGTTAATCAAGGTCATAGTCTTTTTTCCTATGGTCCTTTAAACATTAATGATTCTAAGAAATTAAGTTCTTATCTAATACATCTACACACAAATAATGGCACAACTGCAGTGAGAGTGACTAAGTAGTAAGTCTTCTAATATTACTAACACAATAAAATCTTTGTTACTAAACTAAATCAGTCAAAAAATATATATATAGATAGGCAAAAAACACAGAGAAAAGACTCATCCTGTATTTAAATAGAAAAAATAATTCTAATAAAAGATTTATGATTGCAGTTATCTTATTCTATGCAATTTTATTATAATTAGACGAGAATAAATATTAGTAAAAATACTTCCCCTCCCTTTTTTTTCCTTTATATGAAATTAAATAAGTAGATTTATAAAATCAGAACTAAAAATAGGACTCTTAAGTTTTTTAAACTTTATATTTTACTCTCAAATAAGTACTATAAATATTTATATTTCTAATTTATTAGATTAATTCAATTAATAATAAAAACACTTACTCTCGCACTCCTCGAAGCACGAGGATCCAGATATGTCTTTAGTTTGCGTAAATAGAATGCTGGAGATTCCTTAGCTATCACTTTTTCCTAAATTAAAAAATAAAATATAAAACATGAAAAAAAATTTATTTGTATAATTCCTTAAAAATTATGTTTTATTTTTACAAACATACTTTTAATTATGTTTTTGTAAATTCAAGAATAATTTAATATATATATACTGTATATAGTTCTATAATTTAAAAAAAAATACTTTCACTTCATGTACAGTACATTATAAGCATCTTCAGTTGTTCTTTAAACAAAGTAAAAAAGGAAAAACTACATATGTTTAAACATAGTCAACGAATAAATTTGAACACATTCAAATTTACAGTAGAGTGTTGTTTATCCGAAAGTCGGTTATCCGAAACGTCAGTTATCCGAAAGAATTACAGTTGCCAAATTTAAATTTTTGCTAGTACTGTGGCGCTGCAATCTTTGGCTATATCTTGGGCTACGCCAATATTTTTTTTTTGTTGGTGTGTGTGTTTTAGCTGGCAGCACTGGCATTTTTGTGTGGTGTTTTTCTGAGGACTGTGTGGGGTGCTGAATCGAATGTTTTTGATACTAGATCAACTTCTAAAGTATTTTTTTTTTGTTTTGTTTTTATATTTTTCAATATATTTATTTTGTTTGTACAAAATAAAGATATAATTTTTAACGATACAATAGCCACGATTATTATTTTAAAAAATTTACGTTAGGCTTAACATCGACGAAAATTCAACGCAAAGTGACACACAATGGAGAAAAATTTCAACACGGGAAAGGTTAATATATTTTTTCGTACATAATCGGTTATCCGAAAAATAAGTTATCCGAACAACCCCAGTCCCCAATTGATTTGGATAAACGACGCTCTACTGTATTTTATTTCATTAAACAAAATTTTGCACGATCAATTTATTTTTTTCCTAAAATGTTCATTTTTAATAGAATTCTGATCTAAAACTTATTAGGAACCATTTCTGAGATGCAAAAACTTTTGAATTTGGTTTATGCTTGAAGTTCTGCTATTTGTTTCTCTCGGCAACCATCAGCTATAAATTAAAAATAAAACAAATATTGTATAAATTTAAAATATATTGTTTAGTTGCTCCTTACAAAGCATCAAATTCTTAGTGATGTATGTATATTCTTTTGACATATATGCAGATTAAATTTTTCTTTATTATACATAAAAAAAATTCTTTATATTCTACTTAACTTTTTTAACTTGTCATTCTATCATTAATTGCTGTATTTATGAAAATCTGGATTAAATTTACTTCCTAAATAAACTTAATCCCAGTATTAATAAACACAGAAAAGTATTCACACTATTTCCAAACTAAATAAAGCAAATAAAATAAAAGTGACTTTGGAATCAAGAACAGTTAAGCTATGAATGTGCTATCAGTCACAATTATGTACAAAAGTTGAAGAGCAACTATACATTCTGCAATAAAAATATTTCATTTGAAAATATAATAGAATATTTCTAATAAAAATCCATTTTAAGAAAATAATAAAAATATATTACAGTGGAACCTCAGTATACAACCTTAATCCGTTCCTGATGTTTGGACTTATACCGAATAGGACGTATACCAAACCAACCTTTCTCATAAGAAGTAATGTAAAAATGATTAATCCGTTCTCATGTAAAAAAAGTGGCTGGCTTGAAACACCCTCGCTTTCCTGGCTAGTTCCTGCTTGATTTTTCATGAGATCAGCATGTATCTTTTTAGCTTTCTCGCAAATAATTGCTTCTGATATGATGTCTCCAGCACACTTTTTCAGTTATCCAAAGCAAAAGCATTTTCTCAACATGATCTAATGTCCTTGATCTCTGTTTAGAAATTGATTTAACCCCTTTCGCAACGTTAGCAGATTTAATGATGTTTTTATTTTTCACGATTGTCGATATCGTCGATCTCAGAATGCGATATGCAACAGTTAAAATCTCGAACAGGCATGCCACCTTCATATTTCTCAACAATCTCTTTTTTCAGTTCCATTGTGATTCTAGTCATTTTTTTAGTTTTCTGTTGCTTCTCATTTGCCTTTTTGCAATTCATGATTGATAAAAATAATAAAATTTTACTTACAAATTAAAATCAGAAAAAATTTAACAAAGTTATAAACTGTGGCACCGGGAATGTCTAGTCTGGTCTAGTACACCGATAGTGCTACTTGTTCATAGATGGCACATATAATTGAATTAAGTCGTATACCGAGCAAAATTTGTTTTGTCCAAACAGGACATATTCCGAATTGGACGTATTCTAAAGCAGACACATACCGAGGTACCACTGTACTTGTTAAATTTTTGACACAACATGTTTCAAAATTTAATTTTCAATATCTCATTAAGCCATTAATGTGTAATTAATTAAACTTTAATTTTACAATACTCTGTGGAAACTTATAACAACTAGTTTAAATATCATCATCATCATTAAAAAACTGTAAACAGCTAACTATAAATAGCAATGCTTCTGTTGAGAAATTTAATGAAATTTGTGATTATGAAAAATTATTAACATAACGTATACATTTTTGTGAATAATATGAGGGATATTCAAAACAAATCAAACTTTTGAATGGCATGAAAACTTGCACTTGAAGTGAAATGTGGACAGTGGTGTCATTTTTCAGCAAGTTTTGGTAACAATGTGCCATTTGAGCAAATATGTTTGCATAGTATCTAACAGATTTCAGATAGAGTAAAACTGAAAAATCTTGAAGAACATGATCACAGTCAACAGATTTTTATCTAGAAGTTTTAAGATGTTTGAGGGATGGTGTGGGCAGGAAGAGGCACACAACTGTGGGAAACCAAGCCTGGTTGTTGTAACATGATTATGTGCTAGATTGCATATTACTTCTTATCTGGCAAAAAATAAAACACCCCTCATGCCCCACCTACCTTACTCTATAGACATTGCCCTCAGTAAACTTTTTCCTGTTTCCTAGATTTAAAAAAAAAACTTGAAAGACTGTAATTTTCAATCTACAGAAGAGATACAGGAAAATGCAATATAAGACCCGCATGTCATTCCAGAAGACATTCCAATCATGGAAGAAACAGGAATGATATGTTACCAGTAAAGGAGACTTACTTTGAAAGAGACAAGATCTAATAAACTTATACATAAGTAATAAAGTTTTAGCAAAAGTTTGATCTCTTGACTAGCCCTTGTATTTACAATGCATTTTCATTTCATGTATTTATTCCATATATCTACAATAATATATTAAGATAACTTAACCTTTTTTCCTTTGAAATTATTTATATTAAATTCATTAATTTACATTTTTATAAAATGTAAATTAATTTTTAGATGCCGGGAACAATGTGCTGTTGCACTTGTAAATTAATGTAAATTCTTCCAAATCTCTCTTCTAAATTATCTTACTTCATAGCTAAAAAAATTGTTTTTCACCTCAGTTTTCATCTGATTTACAGGCAGCATTTAAAACCAATAGAATGGAACTGCTGCTAGTATTTTTGAGGAATGGCTAAATAAAATTTAGTTCATTTTTTTATATACATGCCTAACTTTTGATAGAGATTTATTTAATAAAATCATTTACATTATTTTTGATAGTCAAGTTGACATTTGGACATTTAATCTCATTTGGATTTTTTCTAAAATAGTGTAAATACCTTTCTGATCTGGATCACAACAGAATCTCTCTTTGATTTGTACTCTGTCAGTTAAGCATTTTTCATGCTTTTGAAATTGTGTGATTTGTTAACAATATATAAGAAACCATTTTAGAGAAGACATATAGTTTTCAGTGGTGTGCCGTGACACTTGATAGGGAATCTGTGTTTCTGTAAGAAGCCGACATCCAGGGGCAATCAGTCACTTGCTCATCAGTGATGGTCTAGGGCAGGGGTCGGCAACCTGTGGCTCACAAGCCTCATGCAGCTCTTTGGATGTGAAGCTGCGGCTCTTTAGTTCCATACACAATTATTATTTATTTTATTAAAAAAAAAAAAAAAAGCATTTAAAAATTGTTCTGAATCGATTAACGAGGATTAGGCACCAATTCTATCTCTCAGCCACCTGTACTCGCTTTTCACCACACCCCTCCCCCGTGACACGCGTCGTCACTGTTGTCAGTCCGTCGGAAGCTCTCGAATGACGCTGTCGTCGGATGTTTCTGTGAGGTTTAATTCACTTTCGACGCAAGACAATTTGGCGTCTTCACCAGTGCTTTGGCTGTGACGTATAGTTTGTTGTTTTGAGTAAAAGAGTTAGAAGCGAATTATCTTCTCAAAGTTATGTATGTACATATATATAATAATAATAAAAAAACGAAGTAAAGGTAGGTAACATAATAATTATTATATTTTTAAAATACATACTATACATATTTTTTTCCAAATAAGATGCCTAACTACTTTTTGAAGTCAATAAGAACTGTCAAAAAAGAAACTAAGTACTACTGTTGGATATTACCGCAAAAGTGTTTTTATTAAAATACATATTCAATAAATTACCTATTTTATTATTTATCTATTTTATAGCTTTTATTATTTAAAAATTAGTGTTAAAATAATAATTATAAATGTAAGTATGTAAGTACCTATAAATTGTTATTTAATTAATAAACCTATTTTCGAACTCTGAAAATCAAAGTAGGTAGATATTTGAAGTTTTAGATTGTTTATATGTTTGGCAATTTTCATTGATTTCGGCATAGCTGGGCATAACACCTTTACTCGTAAACTAAGTATCTAATATTTGCCAAAATTAAAAAAAAACTAAAATGTGCAGACTGATCGTGATAAACACGTTCTGACAAGTCCGTGTTTATCATGACTTGTCAGAATGTGTTTATCACGACAAAACTATGTACTTATAGTCAATCAGTACATGACAGAGTGAGACAAACAAAGTTACATGTCTAAATTATTTAATTTAATAATTAAATTATTAGAATTATTACAGCCAAATTTATCCAAAACTTTCTAAAACCATGCAAAGCCAATGCTCCCATTGAATTTGTTTGCTCAATTGTTTGTTATTGAAGTACAAGTTAGTGTTGTA